TTATCATGTGGCAATAAAGAAGCAGGCAAAGCGCCAGCCGATGCACTAGCTGAACTCGGCAGTGACGCTGAATTAACATTATCATGGGACATCGGCTGTTTTTCCCTATGCTCGTCATTAATTTGCAATAGTACAGATCTCACCTGACGAGGCAAAGAGTTCTCAATATCTTTATTAAACTGCTCCTTAAAGCTAGCTATCTTATCGCTCAACGATTCAGTAATAGTATGCGCCATGTGTGTTAGGTCTGCACCAAATTTATTAGCTACAGAAACATCTATTAAACTAGCAAGATCATCAGAACAGATAGGTTTATTTACCTCAGATCTTACCTTTTTAAAGGCGCCGCTTCTGGTTTTCTGAAAACAGGCAAGTTTCTTTTTCGTCCGTTCCATCTTTTCTTCCTCAAGCTCGTGCTTTAATTCACGCTCTAATTCCTGCCGGTCCTCCTCGGTCAGGTCATCCAGTCCAACAGCGATAATATTCTTTGGGTCAACAGCGCTATCATCACCTTTTTCTTCAGCAGCCATGTCGCACCTGCACGAAAGAAAATAACGAACTCCAACGCTTCACGTGGGTATGCGCGTGTGACACAAGCTCCTGACAAATACTACTCCTTCCGTCCCAAAATAACTCAATTCTTGGGTTTTCGTGTCCAACGTTTGACCGTTCGTCTTATTTAAAAAAAAATATAAAAAAATTTAAAAAGATAAGTCACGCATAAAGTATTGTTCATGTTTTATCATCAAACAACAGTAAAAATACTAATCATAAAAAAATTTCATATAAGACGGACAGTCAAACGTTGGACATGGAAACCCAGAAATTCGGTCTTTTTGGTAACTACCAAGAGGTAACTACCAAGATTGGTCACAAAAGATTCACCCTGAACCAACCAAAGACAGTCAACCAATTCTCTGTTGCACTGCAAAAGTCCCCCATCCGCTATGCGAACCTTGATAACAGGAACAGAACGTTGTTTGCCCCCTAATCTGTTAGCCAACTCAGCAGCAACGAAACTGTGCGTGCTTCCCGAATCAACCAACATCAAGATATGGTGATGCTGAATCAAACCTTGCAACCGCAAAGTCCCCGAGGTTTCTGTTCCCAGCAGTGCTTCCTTATAAATCTGACAAGCCTCCCCTGTGACCTCAGATTCAGTGGGTTTAGTTATCTCCGGCACTGTAGCTGTCTGTTGTCGTTCCTCCTCATCCAACAGATTCAGCAGCTCCTCCACAACATGCAACTGGACAGTTGGTCCGCATTTATGTTCACGACTCCACTTTTCCCCACAGGTGTGACAGAGCCCCTTAGCCTTGCGGTAAGCACGAAGGGTGGCCACGCGATCCTCCATTGGAAGGGCCCGCTTATCAGCCTGTCCTCCCGCACCAGAGAACTGTTGATTGCTCTGATGAGAGACAGAGAAATCAACTTGCCGTGTGTCCTTGCGAGTAGTCTCCAGCACTTCCTCCTGTAAACACGCAAGATCCACAGCAGTATCCATGTCGGAAGGACGATGCAATAAAACTGCAGCTTGAATTTCAGGTTTCAACCCATCCAAAAACTGAGTGACAAAAAATTCAGAGTTCCAGGACGAATGATGGGCATAAAGTTGGTGCATCAGTTCGTTGAATTTCTCAGCGTAGCTAGATACTGAACCCATTTGTTTAAGTTTGTTAAACTGTCTAACCACCCCCTGAAACTCTTCCCTACCAAATTTAACACACACTGCTCCGCAAACTCTTCCCTACTCATTAGCTCGATGTGAGCGTTGGTAGTCTATAACCAAGTCAAAGCTCCACCAAAAAAATTGTAAGGCAGCTACTCCCACCCACACTTCCGGACTTGTTCCACTAACCCGAAAATAGGTTTCGCATTTCATCTTCCAAGCCTTTGGGTTCTCACCATCAAATTGGGGACAATCGACTCTAGCATTACCCCATGAGTACCAAATCCCACGCCCTCTACCGCCAACCTCACCCGTGTCCCATGGAGTGCGATGCGGGAATGGGGAAGAACACGTACCCTTGGTCGGGAGAGACATTGGAGAGGACTTGAAAGTGCATCTAGGACCACTCATTTATTTTGGTGTTAATGACAACACAATTAGATGATAACTAATTCTTTTGTTGAGATGTATGCAAGGATAAAAAGGAGTGGAACTTGAGTTTAAAAGCATTGGGGTATCTTTTGTGGTAATTATCTTCTAATCCATGTATATCTTGTGTTCTTGAATGTTAGGATGCCGTACTATTAAGAGGGATACCACATGCATATAATTGGTACAACATTAGTGCTCAAGATCCTTTGTTTTAAGTGTTCTTGTTTTATTCCTGTCGGACTATCCGATCTTGATTAGACTATCCGATGCTCAGACTATCCGAAATTTCACATAACTTTGCTCTCTGTCTTTGGTCTGAGTGTTGGCTAAAAAATATCGGACTATCCGATATAAGGTCGGACTATCCGATACATCGGACTATCTGAAATTTCTCAGAACTTCACTCTCTGTTTTGAATTGGTTTTTATTCCTATTGAGTGATTTTCAAATCAGACTATCCGATGTGATCGGAGTATCCGATGACCCAGAGACTCCGAAATTCAATGGAACTTTAGTCTCTGTGAGAGGATAAAATTCTTGATTCAAAAATAACGGAATATCCGATATGACATCGGACTATCCGATCGATCGGATTGTCCGAAATTCTCCAGAATTTCGTTCTCTGTCTAGCTTGCTTGGGGGTCAAAAACATTGGACTATCCGATGTCACCTCGGACTTTCCGAGGTGGGATGAAAAGATTCTCCCCCAACGGCCACTTTTTGGGGGATCTATAAATACCCCCCACCTAACCCTTTTCTAGGGTTACCCATCTCATTCACTCTCATTCTCTTTTGGGTTGAGCTTGGTGCCAAGGTGCTTTGGATCTTTGTGCTCTTTCTCCCTCTCTCAAATCCCTCCTTGTTCTTGGTGTGGTGAATCTTGGTGGTTGTGGATTTGGTGTTTGAGGGCCTCGTGTGTGTTTCACTCGATCTTGAGCACTAGAGTTTGACCAAGGGTTGTGTGGTGTTTGTTACTCTTGGAGATTGAGGACTCCTAGACGGTTAGGTGTCACTCCCGAGCCACCGATCTACGTGTGGTTGGCCGGAAGAAGTTTGTGAAGGCCGGATCTCGCCTCCGCAAGGAAAGAGATACCACTTAGTGGAAGGAAGAGTGCTTAGTGCAACCTCTTGAGAAAAGGGTTAGCAAAGACCCGGCTCTTAGTGAGCTCCTCAACGGAGAGTAGAATCCCCTCAAGGATTTGAACTCCGGGAACAACTCCGTGAACTTCATCGTTGGTGATCTCCTTACATCCTCTCTTTTGCTTTACTCGATTGTGCCGCTATAGATCTAGTCGCTGTTTGCGCTATACTCTTGTTTTTGTGATAGATCTACTCGTTGTGCTTCATTAGTGGATCAGACAGTCTAATCCAACATCAGACTATCTGATATTTTCGGATAGTCTGACTGTGGATCAGACTTTCCGACCTTATTTCAGTTTTAGCTTCCGCATAAAGTTTTAAATTAGCCTATTCACCCCCCTCTAGGCCTAGTTAACCCTTTCAGGACTCCTCTCCAATTGCCTTCCCCCGTGCTGTAGTTGCGACGCGGTGGCCATTCGGGCCATGAGACGACTCCCCCTCTAGAAGAGCGGATGGCTCCTCCTTAGGTGTCGAGATCCGTGGTTCGGACGGTGTGGGTAGTAGAGGAGGCAGATCCGCCAGCTTGACGGTGGCCGCAGGGGTCCGCGCCAACTTCTCCACTTGGAGACGCAGGTCCCCCATCTCCGTCCGCAAATCCGCCACTGCTTGGTCCACCGCCGGCTTCCAGCCCAACAGTTTCACCACGAACGGCTTGATCTCCTCCAGCGAACCCATGGACGCCTGGATCGCCGAGTTCTGCTTCTGAATCGCCGTCACCGTCGCCACAAGCTCGGTCAGCTGCTGCTCCATTTCCTGAGTTTTGAGTTGCTCTCTAGAGTGGTAGCGTGGTTTCTCCAAATAAACCAGGATTGGTGGCTCTGATACCTATTGTTATGGACGGGCTAGGCTTTGGAATTTGGGGATTGGGAAGAGAGAAATCAGATTGGAAAGGGAAGAACAGAGCAGCTTGGGAGAGAAGAATCTGTAGTTGGGAGGAAATTGAGTTTTGTTCTGAGTTGTTCGATGCCTCTTCTCTCTCTCGCGTGCTTATATAGCCGCACGTTCGGTTACAAGGCCTCAGGCCCATTCCGGTCCAGCAAGGCGAACATTGGGCCTGCGTAGACGCTGACTCCGCTTTGCTGGATTGTCTTCAGTGGTCGGGTTGGCCATCATGCCCGTAACATGAATATGTTTCTTGAAATTACTAGATTCATGCACCCAATAGTTGTTTTTTTAAGATCCTATACCAACATATGCATGCAACGTTATCCGTATTTTCTCTTTGTTTTCTCACAAATTTTATTAGTTGTTTAAAATATCTGAATGATATCTTAAGCCAATTTAGCACATAATAAAAATAGTGTCCTGTTTGCTTACCATTCATTATTCTTCGAAATGGGGGTATCTTAATTGGAATCATGTCATTTCTATTCATATAGCAATCCAATGTACAAATAGAATGTTCAAGCTTGTTAATCATGCAATTATGATAAATTTACAGCTATATGTTCCCTTCTATGTAATAATACTATACCAATAGTCAAAAGTTCCAGAATTATATCTTACAAATTCATAATATAACTACCCCGCAGCAACACGCGGGGTATCAACTAGTTTATACTATTATGGGACCTAAAATTGCACGATTTTGCATAGTTTAGGGGTGAAGATTTCCGGTATTGTGACTAGGGATGTCATGCAAACTCGACGTAAAGTTGCGGGATAACAGGTGAACTTATTCCGCAGCATTACGAGCACAGCATAAGTGGGCTGTTATATGGGCCAGTAGCCTGGCCCGCTAGCCCTGGGTTCCCTTCCCCTTTGGTCGATCTCCCACAGAGGGGCAGCCAGGCGCCAGCTCGGGCAGGGTACGCACGGCGCGCACCAGCGACGAGCAGCTCGTGCCTCGACGGCTGGCGGCGAGTCTTCCATCCATGGCTGGAAAATTGGCAATGGAAGGTACCCCGCTCCTTCTTGACTCCTCCGCAGTTGCTTCCTCCATCTCTTTTTCTGGGCACGGGCTGCGGTCGCCACCTTCCAGGGTTGCTCCTCAGCTGTTCGGTTAAATGCCTGAATGCACCACGCTGTTGCTATCAACAGGGAATGCAATGTTTACGTGCACAGTGCTCCACGCCTCCACCTCCATGGCTGTCAAGTTGAATTTCTGGGCATCAACAATATTATTTTTGTGAAAATAGAGAAAAGTACGTTTTAATACTCCTTCGTCCATGAATCACCCAAAAGGGAACTCTTTGCTCTGGCCACAGAAGAAGAGAGAAATATTATACTCCATAAAATGTGCATTGCCATAGTAGAGCCTGTATATCTCAGCCATACTTGGAAAGGCTGGACTGCTCCTGCCTACTGAGTACTGACTTTGTGTTGCAAGGTACATCGAAACACTGAACAGAGTTACAACAACGAGAGAACACAAGGATGGACAGGGATCTAGCGGCCACTAAGAAGCCGCAGAAAGAGAAGGGAGCAAAGCCGAAGTGAAGATGTTCCTCCAAGCATCGGTGGAGCTTCTGGCGGAGTCGTTGAGGCGGAAACTCCACGTAGACGATTCTTCTTTGCATGCTTTAAGCAGTCTTGTGGTGCATGGAAGCAAATTCTGAAAGACTACCTCATTTCTGTGTTTCCAGATTCTCCAGAAGCAAAGAAGGTAGAAGCATTTGTACTGCTCCGATGGAATGCAGCTGGGCGGCTGGATGAGGTTGAGAGCCTTCATAGAGGGAATGTTGGGGTTTGCATGAGTTAGGTCCCAAAAGGCCTTTGCCACCGAGCAGTGAAGGAAAAGGTGCTCCGCAGTCTCTGGAGCAATCTTGCAAATCTCGCAGACATCGGAGGGAGTGATGTTTTTCTTTTTGAGATTCACCCTCATTGGCAGTCTGTCTTTCGCGAGTAACCAAGCAAAGAACTGAACCCGGGGAGGGGCCTTGTTTTTCCAAACGAATTTCCAATTCGAACAGCAGGTTGGTCTTGAGTTTAGGATTCCATAAAGCTTTGAGCAGGAGAATGTATTTTGATTTGTTTGGAAGGTAAGTGATCTGCTGTCTTGTTCTGCGCTCAGCTGGAAGTTTTGAAGCAGCGTAGAGAGATGAGCCAAATCTTGTGAAGCAGCTGCTGTGAGCCTAGGCTGCCACAGGTGATCATATGAACTGAGCATTTCTTTTACTGACACAGAAGGCTTCAGGCAGTGGGAGAACAGCGCCGGCATTTTAGAAGCAAGAGGAATGTCGGAGATCCAAGTGTCGAACCAGAAAGAAGTTTTGTCTCCAGATCCAACGCAGCATTTTGTGTTAACTTGATATAGAGGCAGGAGTTTGGTTAGGCTACGGACGTGGGGTCCCAATTTGAATCAGGGAGCAACTTGTCTTGAGGAATTTCATTCCACAGCCAGATGGTCCAAGGAGTAGAAGAGACGTGAAGCTTGTGCAGGTTTTCAACAGTAAACAGGAGTTTTGTTTAGCAAGGTCCTTAATTCCTAGGCCACCGAATTTTTTGTCAGTGCAGACTTCATCCCAGGATACCAAACATTTTGAACCAGAGCACGAATCATCACCAGTCCAAAGGAAGGCTCTTCTTCTTTTGTCAATCGCCGCAAATACTCCTTTCGGGAGCTCCATAGCCGCCATTGCGTAGGTAGGGAGAGATGATAGAATTGCATTAATGAGGATGATCCTGTCTGCGTAGTTCAGTAAGGAGGCCTGCCAGCTTGCAAGGAACCTGTCCACTCTTGAGATCACAGGAGCAAAGGCATCGAAGTTTAGCTTGGTTGTGGACAGCAGAAGTCCCAGATATGTCTGCGGGAAGTTTTCAAGTCTGCATCCCAGCACATTGGCAAGCTGGACTTGATCTTCAGGGGGGACATGAATGCACACCATGGTACTCTTGGAGTAGTTTATCTCCAGTCCAGTTGCAGAAGAAAAATCATCAAGAATCCGCTTGATAAGGGCGACATCCTGGGAGGAGGCTTTGCAGATTATTAATGTGTCGTCCGCATATTGAAGTGTGGAGGGAGTCATCTGCGGGTTGAGAGGATGTCGTAGCTGGCTTTTCCGGATGAGAGTTTGGAGCACATCAGCTACAATGATAAACAGATAAGGGGATAGAGGATCCCCCTGGCGAAGTCCTTGTTTGCAGGAGATCCAATTACCCGGCACACCATTTAGGATGATAGAGGATCTGGCAGAAGCGAGGAGCATTTTGATACAAGTGTTCCAAGAATCATTGAATCCTCTGCAGTATAGAATTTTGTGTAAACTGTCCCACTGGACTGAGTCAAAAGCTTTGGCGAAGTCTAATTTTAGGATCACCGCAGGGGCTTTTCTCTTATGACAGCACTGGACTAATTCTGTTGCATGAATGAAGGTTTCAGAAATATGCCTCCCCTTGAGAAAACCTGTCTGGTCTAGCTGGATAATGGAGCTTAATTCTTTCTGCAGTCTGAAACTGAGCACCTTTGAGATTATTTTAAGCGAGCAGTTCTGCAGGGCAATCGGCCTGAAGTTGCAAGGTGCAGGTGCCTTTCCTTGCTTTTTGGATGAGCACAATGTATGCCCTGTTGATCTTGTCCAGGTCAAGGTTGTTGTAGTAGAAATTATGCATCAGGTTGAGGACCTGAGGGAAAATAAGATTCCAGGCAGCCTGATAGAAACTAGGGCCTATTCCATCCGGACCTGGGGCACTGTCCTTGTCCATTTGCATCACAGCCAGCTTTATTTCTTCCAACTCGAAGAGCCCAGAGATATTATCTGAATTAATCTGGGGGTGGCCTGAATATAACTCCAGAAGATCAAAGTTCCAATGAGTTGCTTTACTGGCTCCCAAAGAGTCAGAAAATAAGTTGTACAGAATCTGAGCTTTGGTTGAGTGATCGTATACAAAGTTGTTGTCCACCAGCAGCCCTCTGATTGCATTCTTTCTCATCTTTACAGAGGCATGAGCATGGAAGAATTTAGAGTTTGTTCCCATGAATTTGATCCACTTGACTTTTGCTCTTTCTTTCCAGAAAATCGATTCTTGCTGATTGAGATCAGAAAGTTTAAGTTGTAAAAGAGAGCGTAATTCCATCAGAGCTGAGGAGCAGGTGCCGAATTCCTCAAGGAAGTCAATGTAATCAATTACAAAGTTACAATCGTTTCTGCAAGCCTGGATGAATCTGTGATCATGTTTCCAGATTTTTGCTCTCTGCCTTACCCTTTTGAGATTCAGATTGAGATCGCCCGCCGCTTCGGTATGTGGATCTGGGAGGGACCAGCGCGATAGAACGTAGGGAAGAAAGTCAGGATTCAGCAGGGCCGAGTTGTCAAATCTGAAGATCTTGCTTTTAGGGATTTTGGTTTGGATGGAAAGAAGGAGCGGGACGTGATCAGAGGTTGTTCTTGTTTGGGAAGTGAGGGAGCAATTGGGGAGCAGATCATTCCAGGCTAAGTTGAAGAAGACTCTGTCGATACGGGTAAGTGTGGGATTAAGTCGCTTGTTGGACCAGGTGAAGAGTCTGTCTGAGAGTGTAAGTTCGAGCAGGGAGAGATTCTCAAGAGTGTCGTTGAAAAGGGTGTAGTTGTGTTTGAATGAGGCTAATCGCTATGGCGAAAAACCCAGTTTGTAGGTGTCAAAATAAATCACAGGTTTTACGAATATAAACGGTGCCAAAGCTGGGACATGCTAGAACCTGGCATAGGGATTGCAGTCATCTCAAGCATCAATAATGTTGATTTGAGATGACACCAAGAGATCATAATTGGATAAATCGTCAGAAGCTAAATAGATTACAATGCAGGACTAATGTGGTACAATCACAATAACTTTTACTCATCTAATAAGATCATATGCACATTCACTTGTTTTACCGTGTGTTAGTAATAAGCATGGTCTTCTGACTCCAACACCAGCATTTTCTGTTTGTTCTTTTTGCATCACCACAGCATCAATGATAAATTTGTGGCATCTGGATTACAATGAACAATTCATTAACTCACTACAGTTGCAATTGCGAAATTATCTACATTATTTTTCAGTTGGAACTGCTGATGTCTTGCAAGCACTGGACACCCAACATTTCTTTTGCTCTATCCACAAGAGCAAAGAGAGGTGTGTTGTATTCCATGAAACCTGCGCCGCCCAAGAAAATCCAGTAGTTCTCAGTCCTTGAGGGCATCTCTTCTACCATTGACAGTGCTTCCATCATCCGGAATTCATTGAAACAACTAGCATAGAGGGAATTGCACTCCATCATGTATATGGATTGCTCAAGTATCACCCTCCTGATCCCAGGACAATGAGCACCTGGGTTGATATTTGCATTGAGTGCATCAACTAGCCTCTTCACAAACCTTCGCTTAATTTGTCCACCCTCCAGTTTTTGGGCAAATTCTTCAGGAATAACTTTGCATATTTGTGAACTTAGGCCAATGAGGATCTCTAGTTCTGCCCCTTCTACATTCATTATTCTTTCCAACACCTGTAGTGGAAATAATATAATGTAGCATGAGTACTAAATGAGACACCACCTAGGCACCTAGCACTACGATAATTCAGCAAAGCACAGTACATTACACTCCAGTTTACTACTCCCTCCATCCCAAAATATAGCAACCTAGTACTAGACACCACGATATTTTGGGACAGAGGGAGTATTAAATATTTTTTTCAGATAATACTAGTAAATAAATGCCCCATTTAATAAATAAGGGTTGGTGAAATTTCATCAGACAGCATAAAGACAATATGCAAACAACAAAGAATATTATCCACCAGAAATATTGACTGCATCTATAATCTATTGCATGAAGTAGCAAGGCTCACCTCTTGCAAAGTGTGAGATAACTCTTTCAGGTCTGATTCTGTGAGCTTGGCTTGGGCGTGCTGGCACATACTACGCAACAAACTTGCTGCCACATATATGTACTTCTCATCAGGGATCAAGATCATATTTTTTAACTTATTAATGAGCTCTGGTTCCTTCATCATAACTAAGCAGTTATGCACATTATCCATTGCCAACATTGCCAGTGCTTGCCCAGCTACCTTTGGTAGAAAGCAATCAACATTTGTGCTAGAGGTTCCATCTGATTTGATGAATGCCTTCATCAGCCTGGTTATGAGCACCTGCATTTGCCCTATCTCCTGCCTTGTGTCACCATCAATGGCAAGATTTCTAAGGATTCCAGCAACAAGTTTACTTAATTCATGATGGCTGCTAGTGTTTCCCAAGATATCTGCGAGGTTTCTTAATAGGAAGGGATGTTTTGATATCTTATACCTGAGTGCTATGCCAATTTCCCCTCCAATGCTTGTCAGCCTCTGCAACACCTTCACTGATGACTTCACCAGGACCCATTGTTGTGCCTCGCTAGTTGTTGTGTCACCTCTGAAGCTTGTGAATCCTATGATCTTCCAGATGAGGTTAGTTTCTCTATGAATTTCCACACAGTTATTTTCATCACCACTAGCAAGGTTGTTAACAATCGACATCCCCAGTGCAGGAAGAAGATCGTGGTCTGTCAACGGTTTCTCCTTGGGGATTGACCAGTACTCTGAAATCCGCTGCCAGGTTCTGATTACGAAGGATATACGTTCATTGATATGGGTTGATCGGGTTTGTGTCTCCAGCAAGTTATCAGTGTCCCCATGTCGCTCTTGAATTTGACATTGGTCATCAGCTGCATCATGCCTATCCTCTTGGCTTTCTGATGTATTGTGAATTGGGGCTTGCTTTCCCTCCTGTTCACCATCTACATCCAGAAGTGGGTTTCCCTTTTTCGGTTTGCCATGAATGTCTAGAAGTGAAGATACAAGCTGCACTGTCCCAGGAACAGTGATGACCCGGAGGCTCTTTGCAAGCTCTGCAGTGGCCTTCGCTGCATATAATCTGACTACTGTATGGTTTGGACTTGACCAGCCCAACATGCTGATTAATCTGGCCATTGTGTTGGTAGAGGTGGTGAGTTCTGATATGATCCGTTCCCTGGTTGGTTCCCTTTGAAGAAAAACGTGCAGCATCTGGACACTAGAGAGCTGCATCTTGGGTGAGTCTGAGTTGAGGGAATCCATTGCAAAGGTGATGAGGCTGATCTTCTTTGGAACAAGCACACCTCCTTCCATGTATTTCTCGAAGGCGTATGCGTAGTACAAATTGACAGATGCAATGCCCCACTGACCTCCAAATCCACTCTGGCGGATGAGAGATCTCCGAGGGATGAAGGAAAAGAACTCCAAGATACAAGCTGCAATGTAGAGTATCCCTTGGCCAAGCACCATCCCGTAGAAGATACTTAGAGATGGCACGAGGGTTTCATCCTCTCCATCTTTTTTCTTGTCAATTAGCCAATCAGCCCAGTGGTAGTACTGTGTGAGAAAGCGGAACAGCGGGAGCAAGACACGGATTGTCGCTGCTGGGATCTGCAGGTTGCCGCATGACACTAATAGTACCAGAGCAAATGCTTCCAACATGATGAGCGCATCTCGATTGTATTTATCAACCATAAGCAAAGGCATAATGATTGAGGCAATCATGCACAGTTTCAGAATAATCTGGCACCAAAACTCACGTTTTCTGCCTAGAGTACCATTTAGTAGCTTGATTATACTCAGGAACCGGAACCTGCTGATTGTCACGAGGAGCACAACTACAAGCAGCACTACATACGCTATCGTCCATTTGGGCATTGAGGCATCGGTAAAGAGTTTGTTCGTCTGAGAATTAACATAGAGTCGTAGTATAAAGGGACCCAGCAATAGGATTGCAACCATGGGGCTCCATAACGATATCGCACGGCGTATCGGATAGCTTGTGTGTAGTCTTGATGCCGCTGAACATACAAACTGGACAATTGCTAGGAGTAACATCACCCCAAGAAACCATAACGGGTTCATGAAGTAAGGAATGTAGTTCCGGAGAACCGTGCAGAGCATAGCATTGGAAATACATGCGACCATGATCAATCCATTCCAGCCAGCAGCAGGTCTGAAGGCACCTCTCGTGCGGAAGAACAATTGGTAATCGAGCCTATTGCTGCGGCTGAACATCCTGTATTATGTATAAGGTAATGCAATTAATAAAACTAGTAATTCAAATTGAAAATAACTATGGGATTGTCCCGCGCAAATCGGGCGGTGCTAGATTTTAAAAGCAAAATTGAACTTCCCCAAAGCGACTTCTCCGGCGAGATCGCCTGTTGCTCAACAATGTCTACACATTTGTGATCACTAGCTCGTGTGATTCTTTGTAGCTTCCTAGCGCATATGTCCTTGATGGGAACTTCCTGGACAGGCTCCGTATCCATGGCCACCATGGAGGTGGTAAGAGAGTATCTCCAGCAGAGACGCTAAACACATGCCCTAAATGATGCTAGTAGGGGTTGAAGCTAAAATAGAAAGTCCAGCAGAATCTCCGCTAAAGACCCTCAAATCCCCTCCCAACACAATAGAGCAGGACATCTGGCAGGGAACACAACGTAGGAATAGGGAAGCCTCATCCGACAAAGCCCACAATAACCGGAACCAATACAGGCGAGACGAGCTTAATTATATATGGGCGCGAGTGCGCGACTAAAGAGTGCAGGTGCACCAGTCAGTCTCAATATCCAAAGGAGATAGATCGAATTAGAGTTTTCCTATGGTACACCTTATATACTTCCTCTGTCTCAAAGAAGTGGATGTTTCACCGCCCCAGTGTTGTCTTAAAAAATACTCACTCTGTCCTAAAAAAAAATGAATCTAGAACTGGATGTAACACATTCTAGTATCCAGATTCATAGTACTAGGATGTCTCGACATTCAGACATCCTAGTATTACATATCCTAGTATTAGGTTGGTTTTTTATGGGATGGAGGGAGTATGTCGTTTTAGCGATTTACATAGAAGTGGTGGGACCAGTCTATTCCGTGAAACCAGAACATATGAAGTTTTTTTTCTCTACTGTGATCTTATCCTCTCGCGTTGATTCAGTCACCCCCACCCCGTCAACTCCTTTGTCGCTCGCCCCCCTCCCACTAAGCCGATCCCCAATCTCCGTCGGCCCCCACGATCACCGCTTATTCAAATGATAACTGAATCAAATAAACAAGCATAGTGGCCCGCGCAGATTGCGCGGCTAGCATCATTATATTTTCTCTCATATAATAGCATATATGTTTTCTCATTATATTATTCAAATATATTAAAATGACAACATAATTTTAAATTTTGCAATAACTTTACAAAACTACTAATGTGTAATATTTATATTATATTTTATATACGTGTTAGTTATTAATTATTTTTAATATCAAATTTTAGTTATTTGTAAATTATATATATTCCTATATGGACTCTAGACTCGTCTTTTAATATTTCTTTTTTTAATTCTGAATTTTCTGTAAATTGTATTTTTATATAGAGTCTATGCTCTTCTTCCAATATTATTTATTTTTATTTATGAATTTTTATTATTTCTAATTGTATTTCTATGTGGACTCTAAACTCATCTTTCAATATTCTTTAATTTTTAATTTCGAATTTCAGTTGCTTCTAAATTATATTCCAATATTTGTATTCCTATATTGACCTTAAATTCTTCTTCCAATGTTTTTCTTAATTTTGAATTTTAGTTATTTGTAAATTGTATTTTTATACAGACTCTAAACTCTACTTTTAATTTTATTATGTTTATTCCAAATTTTAGTTAGTTTTAAATTCCTATATGGACTCTATACTCTACTTCTAATATTCCTTATTTTTTTAATTCCGAATTTCTATTTTTTTTTTCTAAATTGTATTTCTATATATACTCTATACTTTACTTCTAATATTCCTTATTTTTAATTCCGAATTTATATTATTTCCTAATTGTATTTCTATATGTACTCTATACTCTACTTCTAATATTCCTTATTTTTAATTCCGAATTTCAGTTATTTCCTAATTGTATTTCTATATGAACTCTATACTCTACTTCTAATATTTCTTTTTTTTTTTAATTCTGAATTTCAGTTATTTCCTAATTGTATTTCTATATGGACTCTAGTCTCCTCTTCTAATATTCCTTTTTTTCATTCCGAATTTCAGTTATTTCCTAATTGTATTTCTATATAGACAGACTCTAGTCTCCTCTTCTAATATTCCTTTTTTTAATTCTGAATTTCAACTATTTCTAAATTGTATTTCTATATGGACTCTAGTCTCCTCTTCTAATATTCCTTATTTTTTAATTCCGAATTTCAGCTATTTTTAAATTGTATTTCTATATGGACTCTGTCTTTTCTTTTTCTCCGATTAATGTGAGAATTTCTATGCCATGAGAGCGAACTTGGAGGTTCCTTTTTCTATTCCTTTAATTATATATTTAATTCCAAATTTCTTTCTAAATTGTATTTCTATATGGACTCTAGTCTCCTCTTCTAATATTTCTTATTTTTAATTCCGAATTTCAGCTATTTTTAAATTGTATTTCTATATGGACTCTGTATTTTCTTTTTCTCCGATTAATGTGAGAATTTCTAGGCCATGAGAGCGAACGTGGAGGCTCCTTTTTCTATTCCTTAAATTATATATTTAATTCTGAATTTCTATTTTTTCCTAATTGTATTTCTATATGGACTATATAGTCTACTTCTAATATTCCTTATTTTTAATTCCGAATTTCAGTTATTTCCTAATTGTATTTCTATATGGAGTCTATACTCTACTTCTAATATTTCTTATTTTTAATTCCGAATTTCAGGTATTTTCTAATTGTATTTCTATATGGACTCTAGTCTCCTCTTCTAATATTCCTTATTTTTTAATTCCGAATTTCAGCTATTTGTAAATTGTATTTCTATATGGACTCTAGTCCCCTCTTCTAATATTCCTTATTTTTTAATTCCGAATTTCAGCTATTTGTAAATTGTATTTCTATATGGACTCTGCTTTTTCTTTTTCTCTGATTAATGTGAGAATTTCTAGGCCATGAGAGCGAACGTGGAGGCTCCTTTTTCTATTCCTTAAATTATATATTTAATTCCGAATTTCTATTTTTTCCTAATTGTATTTCTATATGGACTCTATAGTCTACTTCTAATATTCCTTATTTTTAATTCCGAATTTCAGTTATTTCCTAATTGTATTTCTATATGGACTCTAGTCCCCTCTTCTAATATTCCTTATTTTTTAATTCCGAATTTCAGCTATTTGTAAATTGTATTTCTATATGGACTCTGTTTTTTCTTTTTCTCCGATTAATGTGAGAATTTCTAGGCCATGAGAGCGAACGTGGAGGCTCCTTTTTCTATTCCTTTAATTATATAATAGATGGGGTAACTTGGTCATTTGCACTGCTCACTAATTTGGGTCAGAAATCTGAAAGCTTCAGTTTTTTTTTTTGGACGGAGGGGGTATTAATTAATGAGACGTACTGGGTTGTCTATGGACTATGAAGAGAGCATGCATATGTATCGGTGCATACCTTGTAGCTTCTATGAAGACTATGACCGTCGCGTAATAGAAATCGTCGTAGGAGCGGAGCATCGTCAGGTAGCCGCCTAGCAGGACGACGGTAGCCCAGGTGAAGACCAGAGAGCCGAGGGCGTTGCCCGTCCTCTCCATCAGCGCCACCACGCGAACGAAGCAGTTCACCCACTTCTCCGGCGCGGCTACCCGCCGCCCTCGTCGGTCACCGCCTTGCGCCGGCGGCATTTGGACGCGGTGTTCTCCGCCGGCGATGTCCGCCATTGATCCCACACCACACCTGACCTGACCTGACCCAACTCAAAGGGGGCATCTAGGGACAATCTATATATGACGGAAACCATGTGAGCTTGTCAGAAATTAATACATGTTCATTTGGACTGGGCGTCCAATTAAAAATTTAAGGTTTCAGCTGCCTGTCTGCTGTCAGTCATTAAGCGCAAAAGTGTAGGAGGTTTCACGCTTGTTTTTTGTTGTTTGGCGACCATGCCGTTCACGCCTTCAGCCATTAATTAGGATCAATTAATTTATCCCAAAGTGCATTGCAAACTTTGCAAAAGTTGTGGGAGCTCGTGGAATATTAAGATCCTGATCACGCCGGAGTTTGGATATCTTGCGTGATGTTTGCATCGATGCATGGCAGTATTCTACTCCCTCCATCACAAATTATAAGGTCTATATTTTTCTTACACGATCTTTAATGAAATAATTTGACCATTAATTTATTTTATGTTATGTTCCTAACAAATATGAAATTAGCTTCACATAAAAGTACTTTAAAAGATGATTTTAGTGATATAACATGCATAATACTTAGCATATAGGTTAGTACGATTATTAGTCAAAAGTTATCGAGTTTGATTTTCTTTAAAAAGAGGGCGTCATATAATTTGGGACGGAGGGAGTAGGAAGGTAACCTATGCTGAAAGCAAAAAGGAGGTAAGAAGGGCAGGCATTGGATATTTGGATCTGTCCAATGATGCACATAACTCTTTTATCACTAGAGGTGAGGGCTGAGGCCTGAGGGTATACCTGATTTTGATTCAGCTAAATGTTGCCTTTTTTTTAGCACCAATTAAATGACAGCGCGACTGCTTGCACTTTCCCTACTTGGTTAACAAGGCCAACCGCAGCCAATCCACACTTCCTCGCTAGGCATGCAGCTCCATCCTTGTGAAGGATAAAGGCACACAATATCCCTAATATGATATATGCAGTACTGTAGCAGAGGATAGCAGGCATAAGGATGTGTTCTTTATTCCCTCTTTCCAACTTCTACTTTCTCTTTTTCACACGCACGCTTAGTAAACTATTAAACGAACGTTTTTTTGCTAAAAAAATATTCTACAGAAAAGTTGCTTTAAAAGCTCATATTGATTTATTTGTAAGTGGTTTTTAGCTAATACTTAACTTTTTTAGAAACAGTACAAATACAGCCGCTCACCCCTATAAATGCATACACATACCCTAATACTATGAGCACCTCCGAAAGACTGGGCCGACATATTTTTAAATTGACGAAGTCACCATGGGCATCTCGTTGTTGACGGGTACATCACCTACCAACATATTTTATATTTTGAGATTAACGAAGTCACCACAAGCACCTCATTGTCGACGGGTACGTCATCTACCAGCATATTTTTAGATTGACAAAGCCACCACGGACGCCTCGCTGTCGACGGGTAGTCGCTTATCACTGAAAGAATAATTAGCCGTAAATGTGCGAGGACCCATGTCAAATTTAGGATTTGAACCCGATGGACTGATTCCAGTTAAACTACGCTCACTTCACAGCCAATACTTAATTAATCACTTGCTACTACGTTGGTCTGTTTTACGTGTTGGAGTGTGTTTTTTTTTAGGGGAAATCAGAATTTCCATTACTGAGACAGCTGAATCATCAGCAACCAGATACATGATTTGTGCCGGAATAGGAGCCAGAACAGGGGCCTCCTCCGGATCACAGACACTACCCAAAGCTGCCAACTCATGAGCTACTCTGTTACATGACCGAGGAACATGATTAACACACCAATAAATAAAATTCAAGCGCAGTAAGGTTTGAAGCTCCGCCACCAGGAAAGACACGTCGCTCAGCTCGAACTCGTTCGTGTAGACCGCTTGAATCACAGCAGCCGCGTCTGTCTCAATAATCACCCGGCCGATTCCCATTTCAACTGCTGCCTGGACTCCCTGTAAGCATGCAATGAGCTCACCATGGAGAGGATGCATAGATTATTAACTCTCCCCCGGAAAGCAGCCACCACATCACTATCCGCATCACGAAGAACACAGCCCCAGCCGCCATTACCAGAAACAGGATTAAATGCTGCATCGCAATTTACGTTGACATGATCAGTCATTGGTTTCTCCCAGCGTGTTGGAGTGTTGGTGGGAAAAGGTTCCCAACCCTCTAAAACAACACAGAATGAACCCTGAAGGTGACGCTTCCGAGTTCTGCGCCCTTGGGGGGACTCATGGGCCGGATTGGATTACAAGCACAAATTGGGCTTCAGTTTTTCCATAATAAGTTGGGCTTTTTTTAAGGAGAAAATGGGCTTCTACCATGCCCGAGAATGAGGTGGGCCACGATCAGCAGGGGCCTTCGCAGCGGGCAGCTCGGGCATGGCGACGAGCAGCTCGCGCCTTGACGCCGGCCGGCGAGTGCGAGCCCGCTCCCATCCATGGCAGGAGCCCGAGAGTGAAAGGTACCCCGCTCCTCGCCTCCCTCCTCCGCAGTTTCTTCCTCCATCTCTCCTCTGGACCTTTGTTTTCTAGCTATGTGCTGCGCGCGCTGGAGATCCACCCGCCGGGGCTGCACGGCTGTTGTTTGTTGAAATGCCTGAACTGAATCGACCCTGATACGATCTATCACCAGGGGATGCAATGCTGACATCTACAATGATGCTTCACCTTCATTGGCTGTCAAGTTGAATGCCTGGGCAATTCAACTGCCAAAACACGGAAGAGGAAGGTGCGTTTTTTGGGGATTACAGGAAGGTGCGTTTTAATACTCCTTGGTCTTCAATGTCGTTGGTGTCTCCGTTCTACTTGTCTACATGGTTAGGAATCTTCGAACTGTGTGCATTTGTAGTAGTTCAACTGCATCATAGATATGATTTTCGTGAGGAAATTAAGCTTGTTTACTACAAATATTAGTACAACCTACATATGACATACAGACATAGTCAGTTGACACGGCTGATGCTAGTACCATTCATGGCCCATCGGCTATTTTGCCCTGGCCACGAGAGTGGAAAGTAGTACGCTGTGCTCCATGAGTCCTGTGTCACCTGAGAAGCTGAGAACAACATGTAGTTTTCAGTTTTTGAGGATGGGTTTTCTACCATTGATAGCTTTCCATCATCCAGCGTTTGTGGAAATCGCTTGCATGGGCAACATGGCAAGAATTGAACTCCATCAAGTATATGGAATATGTAAAATCAAAGTGTGTTTGATTCTTCTGTGGTGATGAACAATTGGCATATGTGATTATTGGTTTTGATATTTGAAGATTATTGGCGAAGTGGTTTTAGAAATGATTGGATTTTTCAGACGGTGAACAGGGACTGCTTGATTTGGGTCCGGTCAGACCGGGCTTGTACTGCCGGTCAGACCGGAGGTCTTCGAGCTGTCAGACCGGCCAGCCCGCGGTCTGACCGGCCGATTCTGTATCGGTTTCGGTTTCGGGTTGTTTCATTGGATTTTCGTGGATATTTCATGTTTATGACTTCTAGATGGATACTATGCGTATGTAATACTGTTGTGTGCTAACAATGAGTCAAGTTGGAGATAGCTTGTGCTCGGATATGGTTTTTTTGTTTGATTCATGTGTAGGTAATCTTTACGCCTCGGGAGAGTATTGCCGGTGATGGATTGAGAGTCAACTTGGAGATAAGGTGACGTCCGGACGGTCAAGATATCATGCGGGATACTTAGGATAAAGATTAATGCATGTGGTTGGTGAAGATTCCATATGGCATACGATGGAGATATTGTGTGCGTATGGGATACGGAGTTATATTTTGGATGGAGTCCAAAATTGGTACAATTGGAGTTTGTAAGTTTGTTTCTTGTACGGGAAGGTTTCCTAGGTGGATTAGGACTTCCTGTATGAGTTGGGTTCGTGGCTTTAGGCTGCCTACGTCATGTATAAATAGAGAGGGAAGGCGTGGCCTCCCGGTATCGCTTTTAGAGCATTGAGTTGATAGTTTAGTTAGGGTTTCGAGTTTAGTCGAGATTTTTGTGAGGAGTGTTGTTGTTGCACTTTGTAAATACAGAGAGATGTAATAAAGTTGTCATCTACTTCAATAGATCTTCGATTTGTGTTTGCTCGGGTTCGACGGTCTAACCGGCGAAACACCGGCGGTCAGACCGGCGGCTTGGCGGCGGTCAGACCGGCGGGTACTCACCGGTCAGATCGGTGACGGTGACAGAAGGCAGAAGCGACTCAGGAGCGGTTGGACCTAGCGATTTACACCGGTCAGACCGACGGCACAGGCGCGGTCAGACCGGCAGATCAACTTCGGTCAGACCGATCTACATCGATTACGAGGGTAACTTTTTATTCCGCAAAAAGTTTTGGTTTTTGAGTATATCAACCATTCACCCCCCTCTGGTTGGCTTAGTTCTAGGTATTCGATCCTACAGAATGCTGAACAATCACCCTCCTGATGTTGGGACTGTGAGCACTGGGACTCATATGTGCATTAAGTGCATTGACAAGCCTTTTTACAAATCATTCCTTAATCCGACCATGCTCTAGTACTCAGGCAAAGTCTTTTGGAATGACTTTACAATTTCGTAAACTAAGGCCAATAAGGGATTCCATTCCAGTAGTTGCAACCATTGTGCCAGTAATGATTGTTCCACACAAGAATTCCACCTGTTTTTAGGCTGTTTCTACTCATGAACTCACTCTTGTGGTATAGCTCTAGTCTATGGATTCTGCTACAAGTCTCTGTGCATATCAGCTTATGCATGATTATGTAATATTGTACAATTTAATAACCCATTACAATTATAAATGCGAAATCATCTCCTACATTTTTTTTTCAGTTGGCACTACTAACTCCTTGCAAACACTGTTGACCCATCAGTTCTTTTGCTCTGTCCACAAGAGCAATGAGAGGTGTACTGTATTCCATGAAACCCACGTCACCCAAGAAAATCCTATAGTTCTCAGCCCTTGAGGGCATCTCTTCTACCATCGATAGTGCTTCCATCATCTGTAATTCATTGAAGCAATTGGCATAGTGAGAATTGCACTCCATCATGTATATGGATTGCTCAATTATC